AGTGATAGAGCAGTGCGACCTAGAGAACCATCAGTTTCACACGCAGGGGGTCTGTTCGCCTGCCTACACTGCCAGGCAGTCGAACCCTACTCTGAGCAGCGCGCGTGAAAACGAGTGAGTGCGAGTTTCGCTCTGTTGCATGCATGCACGACACATGCTACATGAACGATAATAGAGAACTACACGATCCCCTGCTGTCTGTCCAAAGATGCGGCTCAAGTCTTAGAGTGCGAGCCAGTGTTTGCATGGGCACGTGATGCTTGGGTGACGGAGTTTAGGTGTGTTTGCCACCCCGCACCTGCGGTTACTTGAGGCATGCGAAGAATTTAAAGAAGCCGAGAGGCCATAGAGTCAGGCAAAGCAGCGAACAAGTACTTTGCGCAAACCACTGGGTTCCTTACAAGCCTTTGTGTTTGCACCAAATCTCGTTTCCATCCACCAAACTGCTGGAGTTACTGGGCTTGAGCTTTCAGGTGGTATGCAAGCACTTGCGTAAGTCACACTTGGCAGCCGCCTCTGTCGTGCGGCTTTGCGTTGCCCTCACGTGAAATGCTACAAAACCGTGTGACTCTTCGTAGCTTCTCCAAAACAAACTGGTTGATGTCCAAGCCGACGAAGATGTTGACCTCTCTCAGCACTGCCAGGTAGCTCTCACGCGCGTGCCCTGCTTCTTGCGAAAATGCTTTTTGTTCTGCCGCATCGTTGCCCCTTCAGGAGCGTTGGAACATAAAGAAACGCGCTTGCGAGTGAGTCACACGCCAGACTGTCACTGCCCTCCACGTCGAATGGAATACCTTTTGCCGGCAATCTCCAGGCAAAGCCATCTTGCGGATGGTCGCAATCTGGTCTCGTGGGACATCTTGATGGCGACATAGGATGTGGTTTTCCCTTGTGATAGTGAGCTTGTGGGACGTCTCCGCGACCGATATAAACCGACAGATGTTGCATGGCCATTGATGCCCAAGTTGCGCACCTCGTGGAGAGGCGCAGGACGACAGGTGGTTGACGCTCCACCGCCTGAGCATTCTGCACTTCCAACCAACGGTCAATGATCGAAGAAAGACGTGGATCCGTCTCCGCAGCCTCTGTCCCGCGAGCCGTAGTGCCGGTGGTACTAGGAGCTGGTCGCTTGACACCCCGCCTGGACTTGACATTCTTGTCGTGGCCGATGCTGCTGGCGGAAGCAAAGTCCATAAGAACCTGTTGCTGTGCTTCCTTCACGTACTTGCAGCTCTCAGCGCGGTTGGCACTACTGGCGAACTCCGACAGGCCGCAGACAGCAGCAGCAGCAAGCTTAGACGTCGAATTTGTAGCATGACCGTGACTGCTGTCGAACTCCGAGACACCACACGCACCGCCTCTGAGAGTTGGTTGGGTTTGGGACACTAACCTGGCCTTCCTTAACTTGGCTCCTTTTCCTGACTCCATTCCAACTCATCGATGTCGTCGTAGATCTCGTAGTGGCCCGTGCTGTAAAAGTAAAAACCCTGCGCATCCCCTTTGCCCATTTCATGACAGTCAAAGACGCGCCCATCGTCATGATGCACCCGAATACGTTTGTCCTCAAGGTTTGCGAACGCCAATATGTCGAGTGCGCCCGCACAAGTGCCAATTTGTGCCAAGCCGTCGAGGTACTGTTGGAAATTCGGAATGGCGTTCATCCTGCCCTCGTGATCATGACGGCCCGCTCCCTTCCAAAGGTTCTCAAACTCGGCGAAGTGGTCGTGCATGTATGCATGTACCCACTACCGCACTTGTCTGTGAGATCAAGGTTTGGTTGGGGTAGACATAATTGTCGCGATGCCGTACCACAAACAGGTTCCTCCGCACGCATTGGGCACTTGCTTACCCAAGCTGGGTTTCCAAGGAGTGCGTGCCTTCTTGGCGGTCGCTTGCACCTCTTGCGCAGCCTGACGCTTATTGCCCGCACACTGAGTAGCATTCGCCGTGTCGCCCTCTTTGGTGTCCATGTTCTCGCCGGCCTCACGTCCGTGCTGCCAGGGGGTTGCCGTTAGCGTGAACACCGTCCTCCTTGTATTTGATACGTGTTTCATCTTGTAGGCTCATGTGTTTGCGTTCCCATCTCGCCATGAGCTCCTGAACCGCCGTGACAACCATGTTCTCGTCATCGTGCATTATGTTATGCTGCATCATGCTACCATGTCTTCTTATTCGCGTGGAAAAAGGTGCTCTTGCATTGCTGCGCAGTTGATGTGACTCGGTAGTTAAATCTTTTCCGACTGATTTGTCCCTCCGTGCTCGCAGCCCCCGCTTCGCGGCCGCGTGCGTCGCAGAGCTTGACAGGTCCGTCGACTGCCGCAGCATGAGCCCGCAACCGCGGCCTCGTGCTCACGGAGGGCTGCTGGACGTCAATGTCCCACTTGGGCAAAGCTGGTCGACAACCACCAAAGGATAGCTTTGCCAGACCGAAGATTGGGGGACTGGCTGCTGGCGCGGTGGGCCAAAATCGTGGAGCATTCCTGGGATTTCCCGGGTCCGCGTCTCCTCGAAGCCATCGCACCCGAAGGGCAGGTCGTTCCGCAGCAGTGGCTTATGCACACTATACTGCACCGGGCGTGGCGTCGGATGGCCGCCCCCGACTCGACATGGTCATCTACAGCGTCACCCTTTGTGGAGATGCACAGTGCTGCGATGTGACCATCCGCTAGACGGGGCTGTGTTGGCCACCGCTATACGCGCCAACCCGGAGTCAATACTCGGCTCGGAGGTGGGGGGCCGCTGGGGGATGGCACGGGAGCCCTGGCTCTCGTACGCGACCTCGTTCGCCTCCGCAGGCT